GTGTTAACTTTCCCCCACTGGTAGGTCTGGCACTAGTAAATGTACTGTGACGAGTGTAATGTGTTTATGAGAATGTGCATAATAAATTATCAGAAAGAGCTGCATTTTTAATATCGCTTAATACATCAAGTTTGCCTCTCAGCCGCCACGAGCTATACTGCAAAAACTTAATTTGGCTGGCTTGCGTCAGCGGTCCACAAAGCTGCCCACGCCCAGGCCTCTGCGTACACAAACAAGAAGACAGGGCTAACGTCCTGCCTGTTTGACCCTCCGCCACCTAAAATCTCAGAGCGGGGAGGGGAAACAGAGCTTCGTTCACCACCAGGGCCCCTGCAGAACACAGCATGGGCCCATCACAGGATAGGTGCTCAATAAATATTTGTCGAAATGTGAATTCATAAATAAATGCATGGTCAAGAGCCTCTGGAAGGCTCTTTCCATCAACCTGCAACCATGCTTGAAATCCTCCATCAGCTTCTCCTTTGGGTTAAAAATACCCATTAATACAGAGAAGGTACCTGCACAGCATGACGCACCCCGAGAGCTCCTCCAGGAATCAGGGAAGGGTGGAAAGTGGGGGTGCGTGTTAAGTCAAGGCCATGGATGCCCCCCCCCCGAATAGGTGCAGACACGAACCAACCAAGGACACCTAGCCGAGTGCCTCTTGGAGGTCATCTCTCTAAAATGCACGTCACCCACTGACAGGACAGGCTTTAGTGGTAGGTTCTCAGCCAGGAAAGAGGTCACAGTATGCAAAGCGGCTGTACTCAGCTCTCCAGGGGGTTCACCAAAACAGCTCGAGGATTCCAACACCCCTCAAGACAGAGTCTCATCTTCCTAGTTAAAAATCATTAAATACTGAGAGATGTTAGCAACAGGAGTGTGTGCACACGTGTGAACAGTGACTCCATTAAACCATTAGCACCTTCACAGGGCAGAAACATACCCTGAGGATGCTGGTTCAGGCAGTTTCCTGATGCCAAAATCCAAATCCACACCGAGGGGTCTTTGTATTGTGAATGGACAGCGTGGTGGTGCAGATGCCCAGGGGTGGAGACACTGCTATCTCCTTGGGAAGGGACCTCCCAAGAGGTTCTGAGAAAGTGGGAGAAGTCAGTGAGGAAGAAGTGAGGCCACGGAGGGCCTGGGAGCTGACTTGACCCACTTAACTGCCAAGAGCTAGTCCAGCTGCAGAGCCGCCCACCACAACGCAGAGAAAGCAAGGCAACACAACTGATGTGGCCTGGACACGTCCAACTGCTTTAAGATCCCACAAATGCCAGCGACTGTCAGCCCGGGCAAGTGTATTATATTCTCCGTGTACTCCTCAACATTCTCACTTGGTCCTGACTGCAGACAGGGAGAAGGTGGTTGTTGTTGTTGTTGTTGTAAAGTACCCTAGCATCGACTCTGACTCATAGCAACCCTATAAACAACAGCTCTGAACCCCGCCCTACCCAATTCCATCCCACTGTCTCCCGAGTCCATTGTTATAGTCACTGTGTCAATCCGTCTTCCTCTTTTGCTGATCGTCTAACTTTCCCAGCTTTACCTTTCTTCCTCCTGATAACATGACCAAAGTATGTGAGAGGAAGTTTCACCATCATTATCTCTAAGGAGTACCCTGGTTGCATTTACTCCAAGTCAGACTTGTTTGTTGTGCTTTTGGCAGTCCATTCAGTGCTCTCCCCCAACACCACTCAAAGGGATTGATTCTTCTTCTGTCATCCTTATTTCACTGTCCAAATTTCAGGTACCTACGAAGCAACTGGAAAAATAAAATCATGGCTTCAATCAGGCGCACCTTAGTCTTTAAACTGATACTACCCTTGCTCTTTAGGTATTTAGAGAGGATAGCCAATTGCATTTCACCACTGGAAAACTGAAGTAGGCACACAGGTTGATGGTTCACACTAGGAACTACAATTTTCTGAATGCTTGCTATATGCCAGAGTCCCTGCTTGGTGCAAACGGTTATGTGCCCAGAGACTAACTAAAAGGTTGGTGGTTCAAATCCACCCACAGGCACTAGAAGAAAGGGTTGATGTCTGCTTCTGAAAGGTATCACATATGAAACTATTACAGAATACAATTCTTCTCTGAAACACTCATGTCACCGTGTCACTGTGAGTCAGAATCACCTCGCAGCAACTAGCTGTTACACACCAGACAATGGACTGAGCACTTTATGGCTATCCTTGTATTTAATCCTTACCAGGGGGTTCCTATTCTCTCCTTTTCACAAGTGAGAATGAGGCCTTAAGTAAGCCACCTGCCCAAAGTCACACAGAATTAGAAGAAGGAGGTAGACACTAGCATTTGATCCCATTTTCTAGAAATTGCGAAGCCAGTAGCTGTGAGTGAATTCTCTGAGCAGTCAACCCCACAAAAGGTCAAGAGAGGAGGGGAAAGATCTGCTGACCTGCTCCCTCCCCAGCAGATACAGCAATGGCCTCTTCGCATTGAAAGCAACACAGGGTCAGGGGTCATTCATTGGCTCCACCCTGGTCTACCTCTTGCTGGTCACTTGACCTTTAGAAACCTCCTTTTCCTCAGCTGTCAAATGGTAACAACACACTCAATGAAGGAATTATGAAAAGATGGTTAGGTGTCTGCATTTTAATACACGTATCATTATATAATCACTCCGTGATGCAGCCACCTCTGGCACAGAAAAAGTCACTCCTGTGCCTATTTAAGGACTAATCCCCTTAAGCATTCCTGGAAATGGGAAACCCACTGTGCCAGGCTAGCTTCCCAGGCTCTTCTGTCCTTTCTTGGCCTTTGACTCTTGAGAGGGCTGCATTTTTCTCTTTTTCCTTCCATCAGGATCCTAGAGGGCCAGTAAGGGACCGTCGGCCAATTCACTCCCGCCATAATCCCTGAGGTTCTCTTTTCACTATCTCTTCTCCTCTTCCTCCTTCAGGTAATCTCTATCCAAGAAGCTTTAGGGTTCCAGCTCTGTTCCAATGCCCTTGAGATCTGATGGCATTTCAGATTGGAAATCTCAAATCTATTTCCAGCTCTGCCACCAGCCAATCGTCACTGTAGGCAGGTCATTTTGTTTTTATAAGCCTCAATAGCCTCACCTGCAAAATGGGAGCAGGACATCTGCCTACCAATTGGGATCATGCATGAAACGAACTAAAATGATTCTATGAAGGTTCTTGGAATATTGTTACATAGTTTTCACCTGTCACCACCAACTCAGCATTTTCCATGAGATGGCATAGAACACACTATTATTTCTTTCAAAGTCTCATCTCCAAAAAAAAAAAAAACCACAGAAGGGAAAGTCAGCCCTGCCATGCTCTATGCTAGATGAAGGGGTCACTGCAATGCCATAGGGTTGATACTGAACCCATTTCAGAGCTGAGGAAATTGAGGTTCTACCCAGAATCATGAAAGTGGTAGCAAGACCTCTTGTTGCTGCAGGAACTACGAGGAAGGCAGCACAGGCTTGAGGTCCCTCACTCACACCCCCATAAGGAACTTGTCCAAAAAAATAAATAGCTCTGACAATCAGTGGAAGCCAACAAGTCAGCAGGATTCCATCCAGGTTCAGGGCTTTCTGGGACACACCTGTACAACAACAGCTTTTCCCAACTGCTCTGTGATTCCCGGAAAGACAGACAGCAGTTGAGCAGGGCTGTCTACTGGGATTTGTTTCATTATCTGTTCTTGAGGCCTGAGCAGGTGGGTAGGCCACACCCTGCTGGTCCACCTCAGCCTGAATCATCAGGCACCAGAAAGGTCACCTCTTCCCAGACCTGCCGACCCTATCCCCCCTGATTCCAGCCCTGGTTAGAGATCTGGGTACTTCAAACCTATCACTGCTCCAGAGAGGAACTTACCTGAGGCTACAGAGGCTTAGTCAACAGAGGAGGATGTAGGCAGACTCTACAAGGCACACTCTTGCTTACATTTCCTCCTAGTGTGGCTACGTGTCTAGGGATGTATGTAGTGGGAGGTGTCTTTGGGTACCCCAATCACTCCTATGTGTGTGTCCTGCTAGGCTTGCTTAGGGGCATAGGAAGCAGTGCATTGGATATCCTTGATACCTCTATGTGTATGTGTTATCTTATTAAATGGTGCGTATGTGTGTGTGTTAAGGTTGGTGTGCACAGCATCCTCCAACAACCTCTACCACGTATGTGTACACATGATTGTGTGTGTCCTGCAGCTATGAGCCAGAGGGCATGGATCTCAACTGTCTCTGCACACGTTTGTGTAAGCTCCAAGTGTCTTTGTACACTTGCGTGCGTCCTGTGAAAGTGACCAGAGTCCAGCCTGTGCTGGCAGGGGTGAGAACGTGAGCCTGGGGGGCTTTAGGGGGTCCCTGCTCCGCTTCCTGCTTGACCAGTGAGTGCGAGTGAATGGCACGCGCCCTGGTGGCCCTGCCCGGCCTCGTGTCTGTGTGTGTGTGCGTGTGTGTGTGTGTGTGTGTGTGTGCGCGCGCGCGCGGGGTCCTGGGCCGGGGTGCGCGCCGGGGCGAGCGCGAGTGAGTGTGGCGCCGCTAGGCTCGCTCCGCTCCGCGCCGCCCGCGCAGCCCGCGCACTCACACGGCTCGGTTGCTACCGTGTGACGCGAACTGGGCCC